GACTCGTTAGTCCAGCCAAAATGTAACTCCATAATACCAGCCTAGTTCGGCAAGGGTGGAAACTGGACTTTTATAGTCAGTTAACTCACTTGCCTCCGGAAGATGATTTCTGGTGTCCCCCGCCGTGATATTCAACCAGAACTTTATGTTCCCTTGATCGTCAGTCAGGTGGCTTAGCTTTGGCTACTCGTGGCTTATAGTCTGTTATAGACAGTATAAATTATCTCACTCGCTCACTCACTCACTCACTCACTCACTCACTCACTCACTCACTCACTCACTCACTCACTCACTCACTCACTCACTCACTCACTCACTCACTCACTCACTCACTCACTCACTCACTCACTCACTCACTCACTCACTCACTCACTCACTCACTCACTCACTCACTCACTCACTCACTCACTCACTCACTCACTCACTCACTCACTCACTCACTCACTCACTCACTCACTCACTCACTCACTCACTCACTCACTCACTCACTCACTCACTCACTCACTCACTCACTCACTCACTCACTCACTCACTCACTCACTCACTCACTCACTCACTCACTCACTCACTCACTCACTCACTCACTCACTCACTCACTCACTCACTCACTCACTCACTCACTCACTCACTCACTCACTCACTCACTCACTCACTCACTCACTCACTCACTCACTCACTCACTCATATCGCAGTCAGTCATATCTATCAAGCACGTCAACGCTCACCTGGACACCCGAATTGCTGATGGAGCCAAATATTTTATCCCTTCCTCTATCCACGGAGAACTGAACTCCTCGCATCTCCACGCTAGTGCCGAATCCAAACAGCGTTTCGCTCTCCAACGTCACCCCCAAGTGACATCCGGTGCGCGTTGTGACGTCAGTGAGGTAATACTCGCATGGCAGCTGGAGTTGGAAGTCCACGTTGTCATAGTTACGTACAGTGCTCTCGCCACTGACGTCACACTGGCAGTAATCTGAACAGAACAGGGTATTCTTTTTAAACAGCTCACCGGATATGGGAGTAAGCGGGAACGGGTATCGTGAGAGGAAAGCCTGTTCGCGTATGAGAGCTTCCTTTCATGGTTGATAGCATGGCGTCGTATCCCTACTACCTGTATCATTGCCAGTGATACTGATCACTGGATTACCTGGTCCAGACTCAACTGTTTCCAGGCCCCCGCGGAAAGGCAGAATTATCGCCAGGCAACAAAGTAGAACCTTTTCATCAAAATAATGTGAAAAAGTCAGAAAAAGTACACTGACACCGGGTCAGCTAGTCGTTGTTTTAGCCCCTTAATGCCAAGCGCCAGGCAGGGTAACAAGTACGACCTTTTTTGGTATGACGCGGCCGGGGACCGAACCCCGGACATTCCGTTCTCCGAGCAGACGCTCTACCACTAGACCACGGAGCGGGTCTGAGCCTATGTTAGACTTACCTACATTTGTACACGTCAAGTTGGGACCAAGCTATTCTTCCAAGACCACGCGAAATAAACAGTCATAACGCATGTACATAACTCATTAATGATATGCATTCGAGAAAAGCTGAGACGACAATATAAATAAGACTACAAGCATTTCCATATTCATATTAAGAAATATGCCATTGTCCATTCAGCAAATCCGACAATATCATAAGCATGTGTTTATGAATCACTTTCAAATAGTGATACCAGGTGTTCGCATGATCAATTAGAGATAACGCTTTTAAAAACACGTGGAACAATGACAGTCATCTCCCGTTGACCTGGTGAATGAGTGAGTTGGTTTTAACGCCGCTTTTAACAGTATTCCAGTTATATCACAGCGTGTCAGCTTAATGTGGGCGGAAGAAGTGATGTAGGTCTCAGACGTGTACCAGTTCGGTGAAACCCGCGAGCACGGGTATGGTGCTGACAAACCTAGAAACATAATCGGGGCGAACCGGGATTCGAACCCACAATCATAGGTTTCTGTTGAGCCCAAGGGACACAACACAGCGAATCGCGGCGCCTTAGACGACTGGGCCACCCGTGCCCCTCCGGTTGACCTGACCTGTGTCATTTAAATATACCTTATTGGACATTACCCTATTCCCGTACGTTGATTTTCGAGTCCCACAGTGACCAGAAAAACGGAAAATACGCTGACCTTTGCAAAGATTGTAAATAGTACGCTGACCTTTGCAAAGATTGTATATGTTTAGGATAGTTTAGAAAACATACATACTGCACATAAACTAAAGTTGAAACGAAAGTATACACATGAAAACTGGATTTGACCAAAACATTACACACGTGATCAAAACGTAACCAAGCTAAAAACAGTCGCGGAAACACCAGAAACCTAAGGTCCCAAACACATCTACGTTACCCGTACCAAATACATCACGGCTGAATAGCTATTTACTGATTGTTTCATTTTTAGCTACCATCAAACATTAGTGTATACTTTTGGTTTGCCCGACAGGTTATAAAACATATATTGACATATACCTACTTTGAGTGACAACATCTGATAAACATTCAACCAGGACATACAGCAGCACCAATCTCGCCATGTCTCGCGTCCTCTCGCGCAGGAAATAATGAACGTATGCCTCAGCCTTCCCATAATACACTACAACAAGCGGAAGTATAACCTTATTCCCCGTTGCGGTTTCATCCTACAAGGATCTTAAGAATATTACAAAACGTTCAGCATTTCTCACTAAGTTGGGGCTAAAGAAATTAATAAATATGTCATGCCTTCAAATGTTTATTCATTTACCTTCATATGCGACACACGGTGGTTGAATATGTAGAGAGTTTCACTGTAAGTTGCTTGGGACAATAAAGTTCAGCATCACCCCAGGTGCTTGCCTCTGTATCCCAGGGCTCAGCAGGTTAATGACCCTTTTGTCACAGTTGTTTCCTGTCTGGGACAAGGCTGATCGGCCATGGTGATCTCGTCGTTTAACATGGATTACAGTATAGTGATACCATGGGTTTATTACAAGGGCTGATCGTAAAATGTTCCGTCACAGTTTATTGGACATGTTGGGGTAAATATAACAGTTCTCTCAGGGCGACAGGGTTATATATGCGGGTGTTAGCAACATGTGACATGTGGATGTTGGCAATGTCGATTTATTTCACGATGTAATAAAAACGTCCTTCGGGATTATTTTTATAATTTATTTTTGAACTTAATTTAGCTTTTTAATGGTGATGGATACAATGAAACTGCAGGCTTTTGCCTGAAATAATAAATTATAATTATCAAGTAATAAAGAATAAATATTAAAATAAATAAATAAATAAATAAATAAATAAACAGTCAATCGATCAATCGATCAAACAGTCAATCAAATTAATCATTTCATTCTAACGACAATTCTTGAGGGAAAATAATTAGTAATTGTTTCACTTTAATTATGAGCCTTCAAAACATGACAATTTATGCTTCCGAACTGTAGAAAACCTAACTCAAGTCAGAAGAAAGTTATAAGTAAATATATACCATTAGTATTGTTCGATGGACATCCTTGATGTCTTGAAAAAAATTTCTTCTGAGCATGTGTTTGTGACGGTTGCTACCAGCGAGGCAGGATGCTCTCACATTATGAAATTGAGTGAGTGAGTTGGGTTTAACGCCGCTTTTAGCAATATTCCAGCAAAATAACAGCGGGGGACACCAGAAATGGGTTTCACACAATGTACCAATGTCGGGAATCGAACCACTGTCTCCGACGTAACGAGCGAACGCTTTAACCACTAGGCTACCCCACGGCCCCTTTTTCATGTATAGCGTAGCCGGAGGCAGGTGTACAAACAATTAACCCCGTGGGCATTCCTGGTTAAAATTGGTCCCCAGGAACGTAAGAGGCGATCACATGAATCTAATCGATGATTTGGTTGACTTTGTGGATCATCGTACTCCGAGACCGCCTCCGTGGTCTAATGGTAGAGCATCCGCCCAGAGAGCGGAAGGTCCGGGGTTCGATCCTTGGCCGCGTCATACCAAAAGACGTTAAAAGATGGTACTCGTTGTTACCCTGTCTGGCGCTCGGCATTAAGGGGCTAAAACAAGGACTGGTCGGCTCGGAGTCAGTATACTGTGTCTGAGTGGGGTATTCATGTTAAACTGCGGCATGGTATCTCAGTGAGCTAGCACTATAAATCGGCATCAGTCCGGACTAGTACAAGCAGCCACACACACACACACACACATGCATGCACGTCGCTATATAAGTGCAATAATCTTGGACGCGACGTTAAACCCCATTTCACCTCACCTCATCTCATCGTTCTCGGACGGCGTGGATTGTCGCTCACAAGATTGTCTGGTCCTGACTCGACCATTTACAGGCTGGAATAACTGGAATATTGTTGAGTGCCGCGTTAAATATAAAAAACAACATAGCAGTACCTTTTCTGACTTTATTAACACATTTTAGCTCCTGGCGCACAAACATTATGGCATATACTAATTACATGTACAACATCCCTCACAACGAGTATTATCCACAACATTGTTTATTATCCCATTTAACCTACTTCACCAATAATCTAAAAGTAACACCCGACTTAACTTTAATAGCTTCCCTCAATAAAAGCGTGAGAATGTGTGGGTTAGGGTGAAGGGGGGGGGGGGGGGGTGTGTCTGATTTTGTCATCAACAGCAGCTGCTGATAACTGTGTATTGGCTGAGGGGGTGGTACTGGCTGGCTTATCACACGCGGATTGATTAGCGGTGGGCGTGTGGGACCCTGCTTGGGGGGGGGGGGGGGGTTCTATTATGTGCTAAAGGGATAAATGTTTCACAAATCATACTGTCGCTGGTTGATATAATAAGTTGTTATGCTATTTTAAGTGACATCTTAAGGGGGAAAAACAAACTGAGGCGTGAACTTGGTACGCTCACGGAACTGTGTGTTCTAGTCTCATATCGATGGTCTTTGAAGGTATATATTCGAAAAATTAAAAAATATAACAGTTTAAGTTTTTTCCTTAACATTGTGGGTAGGTGAGACCGTTCACCAATTGATATAGAACTCGACCAATTGTCTGTTATTTGTACTGTTAAAAGGGAATGTCGGTGAGCCTGCAAAACATGTCCCTTGGTGTTCATGTTATCCTTAGTTGTGATTTAAGCAGGGCAGGTATAGCCAACAGGCAGGGCGCATCCAGACGGAGCGAAGAATGGCGCAATTGCAGCTGCAGCTGGGATGTTGTTGATACAGTATTGCAACATGCAGTTCTTGAAGGTTTCAAGCAGCGATGCCCGAGTCTGCGGAATGGCGACGTTGTTGAGGAGGCAGCCCGCGTAGGCAGAGTCGTAGAAGATGCTGCAACATTTGATAGCGTTGACGAGGAAGGCGTCGACCATGCAGGCCGGCGTGTTTGCAATGGCTTTCAGATCAGTGCATACAGCGGCGTCAGGGGTGCTGCAAGGCAAGTAGAAGAAACTATTCACCGTGTATCATATTACGCACGCAAATGTCCGTTAAGCTGTATTAAGAACATTAATGATCTTTGTAAAATAACCTAACTGTCCAAACACAATAAAGGAGTAAATGTCCATTTTATCGCCAGGAGTACAGTAAACTACGGTTATAACGAACTCAAAGGACTACTAATTTTAGCTCGTTATAACCGTTATTCGTTATAAGCATATATACAGCATAACTACAGCAAATAGTCGGGACCGAAAAAGTAAATTCGTTATATCCGTCAGTTCGTTATAAGCGTGTTCGTTATAACCGTAGTTTACTGTACTTGTGAGCAATCACGCATTGTAAAGTAGGTATTTTCTCTGATCTGATTGGTAAAAGTGTTGTCGAATGAGCGTAACATCACTGATTTCTTTAAGTTTCTATATCGTGTATGTATCCATTAATTAATGGAACTATTTGTGAAATGATAAACATCACACTTTATTATAGGAACTTACGGGGAAATCATTCACCCAGTTAACACCTCAATTCTGACAACTGTCATGCCAATATCGGATGCTGTATGACTGTCATTCACATCATTTCAATTCATTTTCATTCACGCATCTATTTTTTGTGGTTTTCAAACGAGAGTGATTGAAAACTATGGTAATTAAAGTTTTGTTTCGCCGCAGTTTGATATGATCCTCGATCCTTGGCTCATGCAAGGTCTCGTTTTAATTCAGTTCATGCCCACACGCATCCGTTGCCCAAAATTTGAAAATGTCTCTGATCTGTACTATACACCAATGCAGCTCTGATCTCACTCACCCAACACTCTCACAGTCCAAATCCCAATCGCTCGCTGACTCGCTCGAACATCACCATCAAATAGCCATTCGGTGTTTTCAGATGAGTCTGACCTGTACTACATGCGTGAGTGGTGTTTAAAGGAACTCACACCACACTCTCGCACCCTACTCGCACCCTACGCGCCCTGAACAACCTCATAACACACCAACCTTTCACCCTACCTCCCACTGTATTGCCACACTCTCACTCACGTTGTACCACCCCACAAGACGACCAACTCACTCAAACAATCACTTACCCCTGGGTCTTCAGCAACCCAAGCTTCCCGTAAAAGGCGACTATGCTTGTCGAAAGAGGCGACTAACGGGATCGGTTGGTCAGGCTCGCTGACTTAGTTGATGCATGTCATCGTATCCCAATTGCGTGGATCGATGCTCAGGATGTCAATCACTGGAATGTCTGGTCCAGACTCAAATATTTGGCATATTGCTGCGTTCATCGTAAACCAACAAACACACAAACCGCCGTCATATAGCTGGAATATTGCTGAGTGTGGCGTTAAACAACAATCAATCAATCCAAACACATTGTTGCGTGGATCGATGCTCAGGATGTCAATCACTGGATTGTCTTATCCAGACTCGATTATTTACAGACCGCTGTCATATAGCTGGAATATTGCTGAGTGTAGCGTTAAACAAGAAACAAACGAATAAACTTACCCCTGATTGATGGTAAGTTCTCGCAGACTCAATCCAAGGTCAGCTTCTACTGGCGTTACACCAGGTACGACGAGAAACTCGTTGTCGTCAGCCCGGTTCCCGTTACAGTTGGCACAGAAACCTGCATTGGTGAAGGTGGAGGTAGGAAGAGTTGACACTGTCGCCGCCATGAGGGCAGGGTCGTAGGCGATGACGGTGTCACATGGAAGAAGCGTTGCGCGGTAGAAGCCGTTGAACTGGGAGGGGGTCACTACGACGTCCAGGAGTCCGGGTATGGCGTCAATGACGCCAGGTATAGCTGCTACCACAGGCTGGATGAAGAGGAAAATCATATCATAAACAGGTTTTGTTTGTTTGTTGTTTAGCGCCACACTCAGCAATATTCCAGCTATATGATGGCGGTCTGTAAATAATCGAGGCTGGACCAGACAATCAAGCGATTGACATCATGAGCATCGATCTACGCAAATGGGATACGATGACATGCACCAATCAAGTCAGCGAACCAGACCACCCGGTCCCGTTAGTCGCCTCTTACGACAGGCATAGTCGCCTTTTACGGCAAGCATGGGTTGCTGAAGACCTATTCTACCCCGGATCTTCACGGGTCTTATAAAAAGGTATTGAGCTTTCTTTAAATAAAAATCTAATACAATCTGCTTTGAAATTCCAACATTTGATAATAAATTGCCAGGAAAAAGAAAGTGTAAACTTGATTATTGGAGTTTCAAACGTTTACAAATGTTCTAACGTTATCAAAATGTTTCTAGATAGAAAACAGACGCCGCAATACTCCAAACCTAAGATTAAAAGCACAACCTTTTGACCCGTATCAAGTACCCTAATAACCATTTCTTCTTTGTTTCATTTTTAGCCACTATCAAACATGGGTGTATACTTTCTTTTCCCCGTCAGTCTATGTGTTCTTTCGCAGCATAACATTTCCCCCAAAAGGCATTTACATTGGTATGAGTATCAGAGTGACTTGCTTGTGGTTTGTTAGTGTATACTGGCGTATTAGTTACGTTTGTCTTCGGGAAGCAGAGAGATTTATGTTTACATTAACACGTTCTGTTTTAAATTTAGAAACCCAATTGTCCAAAACAATCTGTGCTGTGCATAGTTAGGAAGGTAAAGTTTCTGCAAAATCTGCAAGTGAGGAGGGCAGTGTTCTTGGTTTAAATCTCACGCACTGAAGTGTACCTACAGTGAGTGAGTGAGGTTTTGAGCCGCTTTTAGCAATAGTCCAGCAATATCACGGCGGGGGACACCAGAAATGGGCTTCACACATTGTACCCATGTCGGTAATTGAACCCGGGCGAACGCTTTAACCACTAGGCTACCCGACCGCCCCGACGTGTACCTATAAATTTCATTCCCATTACTTCATGTTTTGTTTAGCATTATTGAAAAGAGCTGATAGTTATCATGGAATTTCCTCGTGTTGTCCAGACGTTATACTACGTCCAGCGGAATTGATGACTTAAAGACGCAGCTCCCAAAAACTAAAGCCTAAAGAGGGTCATGACGTTATACCACGTCATGCTGGACTTAAGACGCAAAACACTAAAGCAAAAGGATGTAAACTGACCGTGGACTGGCCCCCTGGTCCCAGGGTCAGGGTCACGACAGTGTTGTCCCTGGAGGCAGTGACCAGCAGCTCTCTGTTGAAGATCCTGAAGGGGAACTGAGGGTTGTTTCTGAGCTTGGTGACAGTCTCTACCCTTATGTCACATCCGGAGGCGGTGGTGAACCCAGCCAGGTTGAACTGACAGGGCAGGACCGTTCGAGTGTTCCCTAGGTCGAACTGTCGGGTGTGGGGATCACCGAAACTGACGCAGCCGCACTGCCCGACTGATGAAAACAAGAACACCAATAATGATGATGATGATGATGATGATGATGATGATGATGATGATGAAGTTGGAAAGTCATACACTGTGGTATAGTCTTCCGGCATTATTCGCTTATGGATATACGTTGAGCCCTTTTCAGGTATTCTGGCAGAGAGTTCTTTTGTATGCAACAGGAATATGGGTGAATGAGCTATGACCAATCTGTTAAGGCGCCAAGATGGTGCCGAGCATGGGAACTGAGTTTCAGATCTAAGTGTCCTAGGTATATCTTTGCTTACTGGAATGGCGAGAACAACTTATCAACTATCTGCATGAACCATCAAGATATATCCGGGTAAATCATATGCATGCGCTTATGAATCACTATAGAAAAGGGTGAGCTCATCCTGTTCCTATTGCACCCGTCACAAACACATGCAAGGGCAGGTCAAGTGTTCAAATGAAGCCTTATAGGGACTCATCTTTGTCACTGAAGCGTCAATTTTCGGAAATGTCCTTCACATGTCGACCTTTTTAAGTATTTAACTAAAGCCTTTAATGTTGACAATTTGAGCGTTTTAGCATACATTGGAAATGACCAGAGAGTTTGAATGCATGCTCGTACACGTATATGCTCGCTGCGACGCAAGCTTCGACGTTCATACAGTTTGGCCCGCACTCCATGAGATATCGTACTCCAGTAAGTGAGCGAGTATGGTTTAGCGCCGCTTTTGGCAATATTCCAACAATATCACGGCGGGGAATAAGAGTAAATGGGCTTCACACATTGTACCCATGTGGGGCATCGAACCCGGGTCTTCGGCATGATGAGCGAACGATGTAACCACTAGACTACCCCATCGCCCCTATCCCAATGAACTCACACAAAGTGAAAGTCAATACTTAAATATTACCAATAAGGCCAGAATGTTCGATTGTGTAATAACTTTTCGATATTTGCATTTTTAGCGATTCTCAGAGCTGATTGGTCATGTGGAGCCAAATGACGTCACAGTGCTTCATAGTTGAGAATACAATATGACGTTCTCTATAGTTCATGACGTCACAAATTGATAAGATAAGTCATCTGAACCAAAAGCTGCCTTCAGTTAAGTTTCTCTGTAGGGTTGACATTTCATAAGTTTTTCTTCACTTTCCGTCTTAAAATGTCAGCGAGTAACATACAGAATAACCTATTCGAAATACGGAATTAAGAATTAGCCCTCCCCCGAGAGTGAAAGTTGTAAGTCACTCAGGATTTCACAATTCAATCATTCGGAACAGGTGATCCCCGTAGCTCGTTGGTTATTCTCTAACTATATGCCTGATGACACATTGAGTAGGATTTAAAGGTTGCATGATTAGAAAACATATTCCGCTAACAATGTAATAAAATAATATGAGTATCATTTTTCATTTTTTGTTACTTGTTTGTCTCGTTACCTATCGTGTAGTTGACCGATTTTCGATCACGAACGTTGATACTACTTAATTTCGTTTATCCGACATTCTCGTTAATCCGGCATAATCATATGCAACCAAAGATGTCGGATTAACGGGACTTGACTGTACGTACCTGGCACACACAGAAATCGGCCGGAGCCGACATAGCCCGTTGAGCAGATACATTCTTCGTTAGTACAGGTAGCAAACTCCGCACACGTGAACTGGCCACATGGAGCTCCTTGACCTGGGGTGAAGAGAGAAAGACAAGCATTAAGTAACCAAAAAAATATCATGGAGACGCCTACCCATTCATTTCTAAATTTCTGATGTATTATTAAGTGGGAACGTTTGTAAATGACATTCTGGTGATACTTGATGCCAGGTGCATTGTTTAACGTCGCGTCAAGATTATTGCACTTATATAGCCCACTGAGACACAATGCTCCTGTTGAACATGCATACCCCACTCAGACACAGTATACTGACTCCGAGCCGACCAGTCCTTGTTTTAGGCCCTTAAAGACGAGCGTTATGGAGGATTACAACATGTTGGTATGACGCGGCCTGGCATTGAACCACCGGCCTTCCACCCTCCGGACAGACGCTCTACCCATTGGAACACAGAGGTGACTACCATACAACTACAATGCCAAGCTACCCTAGATGTTATAACCATACAACCTATGCCATGAAGATCCGGGTCTTCAGCAACCCATGCTTATCGTAAGATTCGCCTTACGAAATCATCGTATCCCAAATGCGTGGATCGATGCTCATGATATCAATCAATGGATTGTCTGGTCCAGACTCGATTATGTACAGCCCGCCGTCATATAGCTGAAATATTGCTGAGTGCTGCGTTAAACAACAACAAAAAAATGTTGTAACCATTCATTGACACCTCTCGAAATTGTCACCGTACTTTGCTTCCGTACTTTTGGTCAATCTGAATCCAATACCCGACTACATCACAGTTATGTAAAGAAACTAATGTTTGCCACAAATAAACACTGTACACCAGACTATGTTTACTGTAAGAGTGACAGGATCAGTGATAATGTTCACTGTAACTGCACACAGCAGACGGAAATCAAAATTACCATATCGTTTTTAGTTTCAACATACTCATTAAACGAGATATCGTGTCACTGGATTATCTGGTCTACAGCCGGCCGTCTTACGGTAGGATGGCGTGTGCTACAGGTATGACAGGACATGTTTAGCCTTCTCGCGAATACATGGTGTCAGAACGGATTTTGAGGGATCCATTCACATATTTTTTACCCCAATTTTAATTTTACACCCAATGGAATATGGTTAGGCAGATAACAGACACTGGTTATTCTCTGTCGCTGACGTTATGTATTTAAAAAAAAATACATCTTAGTATTTATATAACAGATAAGATCAACTTCCAAGAATATTTACAAATGTAGAGCATACAAACTAATATACGAACACTTAAACTAAACGAACCCACTTTTGTTTTCACCCTTCAAATACATACAATAACGTTTTTTGGAAAATTCGGTTCCTGAGCGCACAAAGCCTGTGAAGATCCGAGGTAGAATAGGTCTTCAGCGACCCATGCTTGCCGTAAAAGGCGACTATGCTTGTCGTAAGAGGCGACTAACGGGATTCGGGTGGTCAGGCTCGCTGACTTGGTTGATGCATGCCACTGATCCCAATTGCGTGGATCCATGCTCATGATGTCAATCACTGGATTGTCTGGTCCAGACGCGATTATTTACAGACCGCCGTCATATAGCTGGAATATTGCTGAGTGCCCATCAACCAACTTGAGTGCACAAGCGACTGTAAGTTCATCGAACAAACAAAATTGTACTTACCATAGCAAAGCGAAACCAACCCTACGAGAAAGAGGCTGAAGAGGGTAACGTAAGCGGTGTTCATCTTGAGAAGCTGTGTGAAGAATGTACATGGACATGATTTTACTCCTATTTATATAAAATTATTCCAGATGGTGTTGATTCTAACTAAGATGTGTCGTGGACTCCTTGAAACAGCTGCTTCAAAGGTGCAACATCTGGCTTAATCACTTAATCATGTAATAATCTTAGTTATTGCATGTCACCGTTGTTATAACGCTAATTGTATTGGCCGGACGGTCAAATGCTTAAAATAGCTTAAACTGCTTGGTGCATTCCGCGTCATTCGTACCTCGCAGCATGGCGTTAATGTACCAAGGATTAAGATAATGATGATCATCATAATTTACAAGCCGTCTATTTCTATTTTGACCCTTCTTGTTGGTAATATTATTAAAATACCAAAAAATGTATTCTGTTTGAAATACATACATTTGAGTGAGTCAATATGGTTTTACGCCGCTTTTAGCAATATCCCAGCAATATCACGGCGGTTGACACCAGAACTGGGCTTCACACATTGTACCCATGTCGGGAATCGAACCCCGGTCTTCGGCGTGACGATCGAACGCTTTAACCGCTGGACTACCCGATCGCACCTACTTACATTTGATATAGGATGAGGAAGTTAAGGGCCCACATTAAAAAGACAAAAGATCCACACAGAAGCATAAATATAAATAATTAGCAATATGTTTAGAAAATGTTAAGAAAGATATCATTTGCGTCACCCGAATTATGATCAAAGATATCTTATAATAAATTTGATATCCGTGAGTTATTCACGATCTCATTACTTGACTCAAAATTAAAAGGACACACGTGTATACATGTATTCATGGGTGTTGAAGGAATGTATACAAAGCCTTGGTAGATATTATTCCATACCCCAGACAAAATAAATCCTGCAAAACAAGACACATAACTATGGAATCCTAGAAGGAGCATTGTAGCGTTTTCGCCCTTACAAAACCAACTTGTATCTTAAAAATTAACTAAAGCGCGACAAGGAATGATTTTGACCATTTGTCGAGTTTTCGTGTTGTCACATTGTCTCAATGATATGTTTTGTTTCTACATACGCGTTGTCTGAATAGCTTTTTTTGTTTTCACCATACCACGCCTACGGAAACCTTTTAGGGCCATTTGTTTTTTTTAAATTTTTTCGATACTATCTGGAAATTTCAAGATACTAATTCGAAATTTCAAGAAACTAAAATTAAATTTGAAGATGCAGAGGTTGATACTATCTTGAAATTCAACTTAGTTTCTTGAAATTTCAACTTAGTATCTTGTAATTTCAAGATAGTATCGAAAAAAACAAAAAAACAAATGGCCCTAAAAGGCTTCCGTACACGCCACATGTTTGTTTGTTTTATAAAAGTCATGATTTTACAATGTCGATCTCTGGTAAAAAACAACAATAATATTTATAGTGCGATAATGCGATAACGTTACTATGGCGTATTTCTTTTATTCATGTTTTGCTTTGTTTTCTAAAAGCGACAATGTCCCTTGTATGATACCAGTACATAACGCTGTCCCGTGTCTACTGACTACCTCTACCTCTACTGAGGGGGGTACCTCTGCACAGCGAATTATATCGTCACAAGCTATGATCCGTGCTCCAATGTGAATGAAAAGAATATATGGCACTGAGCATGTCACATGTTCGTCGTAAAATAATTGACCTTATCACTTTTGAAAAGCGACTATGATCACTGAATCATCCATTACAAGTATTAAAAGCGGCGTTAAACCATACTCACTCACTCACCATTCCTGTGTTATACAAGCGATAGGTTATCTTCTGCAATTACACTACTGTACGAGTGAGTGAGTGAGTTAAAATTTTAAATCACATCGGCAATAAATCAGCCATATAGTGACTATCAAGAGTTAAACATGATACATATATTGAAACTTATATAAAAAACCTGCCAGCGAAGGATAGCAAAATAACTAGATTTATCACAGGAAAAGATATAAAACTGGTATGGAATCATAAAAAAGGATAGCACTATACATAACAATACAAGATAAAAACGGGCTATAGATCGCCAGCAGCTGAAGGTAGGCCACCATACTTGGGACCATGGGGACTTACAGTACCTTTGCTACCTGCATGGACCCCAGCAGGATTTACACCATCCCTTCAGTAACTGGCGATTGTACGCAAAGTCAGCCACCAGTAAAAGTAAAAGTATTCTACGTTTAAAGGGTAGTAGGCAGACACTACTGTACGGAATCGTCCGCATGAAGGGATAAAACCTGTTCTCATCGGCTGACATTCCTCCTTTGATGATCAATTATTGATCATTCACAGTCTCAAAGCTAATACACTGACTAAACGCATCATCATATACTGATATGAGTAGGCATGTGTTTATTCCATGTGAATAAATCCATCTCTTGTATCAGTTCTGTAGCTTATGAGGCTAGCTAATGGACTTTTATTGTTATCTGAAGATCTTTCCAAGACTGACTGGTGTTTACAAATACATTTCCCTGGCAATGCTTACATTTACCATGTACCCCAAGTGAGACTAGCCTCGGGACTTCATCACATCATAGATACAATCAATAATGATGTCATATGCTGCATCACAACTGCGTGATAGAGATGGACTGAAGTGAGTAGGTGATATTCAGTGTGCTGGTATTTGTATGACATCAGTGAAGTTCGATATTCTTCAACACGTTCAGATCGCTTTTGGATATGTAATATTCTTCATACTGGCATATTGGCACTGGCGTTCCTGACACTGACTGTCGTGGCGGACTTCTACAGAGAAACTCAAAGACTACATATATCTCTTCTACGGCAGTACAACCATTGATCCTTCCGGTCAGCAATCTCTCACAACCAACGAACGTTTCGGTTAGATTTAATATGAACAGGATCAAGAAGAAGGATGTTGTCCAGGGGCTTCTAAGTACATATTTATGAATGCAATTCCAATGGTATGACTCAAAGATACATTGGAATCCTTTCGACCATGGAGGGGCGGTCGGGTAGCCTAGTGGTTAAAGCGTTCGCTCGTCATGCTGAAGACCCGGTTCGATTCCCAACATGGGTACAATGTGTGAAGCCCATTTCTGGTGTCCCCCGCCGTGATGTTGGTGGAATATTGCTAAAAGCGGCGTAAGACCATACTCACTCACTCACTCACTCACTCACTATAGACTATGGGAACATTACGTCCTTCAGATATGAAAGGAAGATGGTTTGGACGCCGAATATTTTAAATCAGGACACACTCGATTATGCCCCATATCTTGGCTCGTATTAGCAGCAAGTTGTCATTACTGACAAAGGACTGGCAAAGATTTACTGTGAGGTAAGCACACGAAG